AAAATGTTCTTCTTAGCAAAGTATCACAAGAATGGAAGAAAAAGTATCCAATGTACACAGCCCTATTATGAAACTCATTTATAGCTTTCATATGAAAGCTATAACTTAATTATAGCCTAAGAATATGGGGAGGGAGAGGGAAGGGGTGGATGGGTGGAGGGAGCGTGATTAGAGGGATCACCTCTATGGTTAATCTTTCAAGGGTACAAGTGAATCTTTCTAAAAGTAGAATATAAACGTCTTAACATAATAACTAAGAAAATGACATAAAGGCTATGTTAACTAGTTTGATAAAAGTATTTCAAATTGTATATGAAAACACCACACTGTACCCCATGGTTGCATTAATGTACATAGCTAACATTTAATAGAGAAAAACCAGATGCAAAGCAATAAATATAATGCAACACATAAACAGAAACGAAAACAAAGACTGTATGATCATCTTCATAGATACAGAAAAAGCATTTGACAAACTGTAGCACCCTTTCATGACAAAAAGTCAAGGAACTAGGCATACAAGGAACATACCTCACAATTATAAAAGCCAAATATGGCAAATCCACAGCCAGCATGACATTGAATGGGTAATAAGAGTTTAAGCATTTCCTCCAAGTACTGAAACAAGACAAGGGCTCCCACTGTCATTACTTCTAGTCAACATAGTACTGGAAGTTCTAGCCAGATCAATCAGACAAGAAAAAGAATTAAAGAATATGCAAATAAGGAAAGAGGAGGTCAAACTATTGTTTTTTGTTGACAATATAATCTTGTTATCTAGAAAATCCCAAAAATCCACCAAGAGATTCCTGGAATTGATTGATAAATTCAACAAAGGATCAGGTTACAAAATCAGTGTATATAAATCAAGTTGAGAGTCACATCAAAGAGTCTATACCATTCACAACAGCTCCAAAGAAAACAAAATAACTAGGAATATACTTAACCAAGGAGGTAAAAAGATCTCTATAAGGAGAATTATGAAACACTTAGGAAAAAACTAACTATAGATGATACAAAAAATGTAAAGACACGCTATATTCATGGATAAGTAGAATCAACATTGTTAAAATATCCCTACTATCCAAACTAATTTACAGATTCTATACGATCCCCATCAAAATATCAACATATTTCACAGATCTAGAAAAAATAATTCTAAATTTGGAACTAAAAAAGCATGCAAATAGCCAAAGCAATCTTACACAAGAATAAAAAATCTGGAAGCATCACATTACCAGATTTCAAACTATACAAGACTGCTGCAACCAAAACAGCACAGTAGTGATACAGAAATACAGACATAGACCAATGTAACAAAAAAAGAGAACCAAGATATAAAACCATCTACTTACAACTACTTATCTTTTAAAGGAGGCAACAACATACACTGGAGAAAAGAAGCCCTATTCAGTAAATGTTTCTGGAAAAACTGGATAGCCATAAGTGGAAGAAAGAGGACCACTATTTCTCACCACTTGTAAAAATTAATTCAAGATGGATGGCTGACTTAAATGTAAGGCATGAAACCTAGAAAAAAATGCAGGAAAAACTCATCTAGATATTGGCTTAGGCAAAGAATTGATGACTAAGATCTCAAAGGCAATTACAGCAATAACAAAAAATAAATGGGACTTCATTAAATTACAAAGCTTCTGCATAGCCAAAGAAATAATTAACAGAGCAAATAGACAATCTCTATGGAAAACAGTATGGAGAGTTCTCAAAAAACTAACATTTGATGCAGAAATCCTACTACCAGCTACTTACTCAAAGTAAAAAAAGTCATTTTATCAAAAAGATACCTATACTTGAATGTTTATCACACACAATTCACAACTGCAAAGATATGGTGAAATCAACCCAAGTGCTCATCAATTCATGAGTGGGTCCATGGAGTACTTACTTGGCCATAGAAAGAAATAAAGCAATTTGGATCGAATTGGAGACCATTATCCTGAGTGAAGTATCTCAAGAATAGAAAAACACCACACGCCACACATACTCTTTAAGAAATTGGAACTGACAGGCACATACGGGTACAGAAAGAAGTAAAAATTGTTGGAAATCAAGAAGCCGGGAGGGAGAGGTAAAAACCTACCTGGAAGGTACAATGAACACTATTTGAATGATGGGCACACTTACAGTCCTGACTAAAGCATTATAAAAGCTATCCCTGTACCCCTTTAATATTATGAAATTTTTAAAAAGATGAGAAAAAGTATTTATATTATAATGCTAAGTGAAAAAGTAGAATACAAATAATATATTCTGATTACCATATAAAACCCTTGCTACCAATATCCAATAAAATAAACTGGAAGAGAAGGAATAGGGCGCCAGCCCCATATACTGGGGGGGTGGGTTCAAGCCCAGCCCCGGCCAAAACTGCAAAAAAAAAAAAAAAAAAGAAAGAAAGAAAAGAAAAAGAAATGAACTGGAAGAAATACATACCAAATTTCTAAACTGGGTATGTTTGAGTGATGGAATTATAGGTAACTTTTTTCCTATCTTGTTTACTGTAGTTTTCAGATAAAAAAGTTTAAAAAATTATAATCTATATGTAAGCAAAAGATAAGTAGTTTAGGTTAAAAAGACAAATATGGTATAAGAAACGTGTAGATATGTGTTAGTCTGAGTTCTGAAGGCAATTTATAAAGTTAGGTGCATAAGATAATTACATAAACACATGAATCTATGTGATTGAAAACACCTCCTGCTCCATCCCACTTGAAACCTCTCCCATAATATTACTAGAGAACTCTCTTAAAAACACGTTATCTGACTCTGGCAGTTTCCTATTTACACCCGGTAGTTGCTTCCTAGCATCTAAGGAAAATGTTCAGACTTCTGAATGTGGGTCTCCCCATTAGGTTCCTGCCTATTTCTTTGACATTATTTGCCATGCACCCACTCCAGTTCATCCTATAATCTGTAGCCAAACAGAACTACTTAAAATTTCTCAAATTTGAGATGTTTCATGCTACTCTCTTTGCATAAAATGCCCTTCCTTCTCTTTGTCCATTTATATGCCTAATCTCCCTCCAAAATTCCTCTCAGATTGCAACACTATTATTAGGCCCTCCCAGAGAACTATGGACAGATATAAGCACTCTTCCTTTTTTACCTCTACCATACATGGTAAAAACCTCTATTATAGCAAATTTGACACAATATGGTTGTGTCAGTGTGTCTATCTTCCACACTATATAGTGATTTCTTTGCAGGCTGGTTAAGTTTTATTTTGTATCACTTTTCTTGGAACATTTTAAACCCTCAAATGTCCCCTGATTAAGTGGAAAATAAGCAAACATACCTCTACTGGTCTCACCCAAGCCAAAGAACAAGGGATAGCCTGAGCTGGAAGCTTTGTGTAGCAGCACCTGCAATGGAGAATCAAATATATAAATATTTCATCATATTATAAAAACTATGATTTGTAGAATGTCTAAACCATTTATTGATTTTATTTATTCATATAATTTCAGAGTATTTTATTTATCAAACTTAAAAGTAATGTCTTATAGTATAAAGGAATCTAAGAAATTAGTTTTTAACAGTTCAACCTTCCTGCTATTTAAATGTACCTCTTAGCATGACCTTAATCATTTTCTTAGTAAGACACTGAAATTTAGTATCATGGTCCATTCAAATTCATAGTTATGTGAAAGATGACACAAGATATTACAATCCAACTGCAAAACAAAATAATCAGTTGTCAAATATGTACCAAGGAGAAAGAAGGATGGAAAGGAGAAAGCTACAGGAAGAAAGGCAAAAGAAAATGAAGAGAGATTCCCAACCCCACACAACTGCAACATTGTTCTTATCAAGTTTAACTCACTTGAGGAACCTCAGAGAGGATTTCTGAACAGTTCCGATATTTCCAAAGTCTGGATAGAACACTTCAACTTCCTGTTTTCCAAGGACTCGATGGATAATGACCCGATACCACCACTTATCCTCTGAAATCCTCACACAACAGAGATGTCCCGGTTGGATAAAAGATTCAGGCATGACATATCGATCAGAAACCAATTGATTAGAATAACAGCGCCTGCGGAGTTCCATAGTACAGCAATACCCATAGGGGAAGAAAAAATTAAAGATAATTTTTATTGATGTAGTAAGAGCTGGAAAGCCTTGGCAAAATGCAAAGACAAAATCTTGACTTTTTCAATTTGCTAATGCTAACTAATGTCAATTAATTGTTTTTTTCTTTTCTCATGCAAACTGTTGTCTTGACCAACTTCTTCAGAGAGATATTTATATCTTGGTTTTCTTATCTCACATTCTCTGCTGAACAGAATGTAATCTGACTTCACTCCCCAGCACTCCTAAAATGGATTAGTTTTAAGACATCAATGACCTATTAATTCATTACTCTCCAATGCCTACAAAACACTTGATCGCTGGACCATTACTCTGTCTTCTTTCAAACTCTCTTATTTAGTTTTGAAGACACAATTTTCTCCTACTTCTTCCTTGTCAACGACTATTTCTTTCTTTCTTTTTTTTTTTTTAGACAGAGTCTCAAGCTGTTGCCCTAGGTAGAGTACTGTAGTGTCATAGCTCACAGCAAATTCCAATTCTTGGGCTCAAGTGATCCTCTTTGCCTCAGTTTTTCTATTTTTAGTAAAGAAAGGATCTTGCTTTTCCTCAGGCTGGTCTCAAACTCCTGAGCTCAAGCAATCCACCCGATGCAGCCTCCCAGAGTGCTTAGATTATAAGTGTGGGCCACTGCATCAAGCCCTCAATGATTATCTCTTTATTGCAGGGGTCCTCAAACTTTTTAAACAGGGGGCCAATTCACTGTCCCTCAGACCGTTGGAGGGCCGGACTGCGGGCCCCAGGATGAGTCGGCTGCTAAGCAGGACAGGCAGTGGCGGCAAAAACACCCGGTGGGCCAGATAAATGTCCTAGGTGGGCTGCATGGGGCCCGTGTTTGAGAATGCCTGCTTTATTGGCTCTGTATTGCCTTCAAAGTTTAGGTTCACTAGGATCCTATCTTTAGAAGTATAACAGTAACAGCTCAAGAACCAGTAACTTGGGTTCAAATTCTGACTCCATCATTTATTAGCTGTGTGACTTTATCTTTCTGTGCTTCAGTTTTCTTGTTGAGGGTGGAACAACAATAATAAAACCTCTGTCAAAATACTTAGTAATATGTACAAATATAGTAAGCATTAATAGCTAATAAGTATTAGCTATTTATTATTATTCGTCCTGTACACTGTCTCATCCATTTTCATACCACTACTGATAAATTCAAGATTCCTAATCACTATCTCTAGAATATTCTGCATCCCTTTCGGCTTCAAAGCTGTTATTTCCAACTATATGGAAAACATGCTAATGTCCTTCAAAACCCATTATCCTCTTTCCTTTTTCCCCAGTAATAGAATTCCCAAATTTCAACTAGGTATATGGCCATTCATATCTCCCAGACTCCCTTACAACTAGGTGTGGCTATGTAAATACTAAATCATGGCCAATAAAATATGAAAAAAAGTCTAATTATTAAATGGTAAAATTTAATGTGCATTTTACTACTATTTCTTTTAAAAAGTGTGAAAATTCCAGGCTGTATCTTAAAAAAAAGAAAGGCATATCTACCAATACCCACTTCTTTTCCCACTTTCTAGTGGAAGAATGTGGTGGTGAGCCACCCTCAAGACCACACAGATAAGGACAACATGTTATTAAGAGTAGCAAGATTAGAAAACACTGGTATCCCTAACACCATGGAGCTACCATACCAGCCTGTCATGCTTAGATCTGGACTATTATGGGAACTTAGAAATAAACTTTTACCTTTTTTACACTACTATGGTATGTCTTTGTAATAGCAGCTAAACCTAATCCAAACTAATATTGTTTTTTCAAATTGTCAAATGACAGCTCGGTGCCTATAGCACAGTGGTTATGGTGCCAGCTACATACACTGAGGCTGGCAGGTTTGAGCCCAGCCTGGGCCAGCTAAACAACAACTGCAACAAAAAATAGCCCAGCTTTGTGGTTGTCTCCTGTAGTCCCAGCTACTTGGGAGGGTGAGGCAAGAGAATAGCTTAAGCCCAAGAGTTTGAGGTTGCTATGAGCTGTGCAGCCATGACATCCTACCCAAGGCAACATAGTAAGACTCTGCCTCAGAAAAAAAAACAAAAAACAAAAACAAATTGTTGAATGACTACCTCATAATCACCTTTGAGGCATGATGTATACAACTTCTAACTCGTCACCCCAACTTCAAACCTACCCAAACCTCTAACGCCAGTTTTTTCTTTTTTTTTTTTGATTCAGAGTTTCACTATTTTGCCCTCGGTAGATAGACGTGATGTCACAGCTCACAGCAACCTCAAATTCTTGGGCCTAAGCGATTCTCTTGCCTCAGCTTCTCAAGTAGCTGGGACTACAGGTGCCCACCACAAGACCTGACTATTTTTTTGTAGTAGTTGTCATTGTTGGTTTTAGATGGCCTCAGCTTGGTTCGAACCCGCTAGCCTCGGTGTATGTGGCCGGTGACCTACCCACTGAGCTATAGCACTGCCTTAAAGCCACTTTTTATAGTTCCCTTCTCTCCTTTGCTCTTCTCAATTCTATTCTTGTCCCCTGACAATTTCACTTTGCTAATTTCTCCCTAATTTCTCCCTTTTCTCTCTCACCAAAACTAGCCTATTAATGAATCTTCCCTTTACTCCATCCACCTTCTATACTACAAGTTGATTTATCCTTCTAAAATACAAACTGTTGACGCCCTTCTTTTCTGAAAACCTTCAGGGGTGCCTCACTGTCTACAGAGTAAGTTAAAACTGCATCCATGATATTCAGAATCTAGCTCTTCCCTAGTCTTCCAGTTTCACATCAAATGACTGTTCCCTAAACCTTACCTAGTACTAACTCCACTTTCCAATTTGTTGTTCCCAGAGCAGACCACCCATTCCTTTGTTAATGTTGGCCTTGATCCACTGATAGGACCTGAATCTACCTATTCACACCCTGACTGGCAAATTCTAACTTACTTTTGAGGCATAGCTCAATTACTTCCTTTGTGAAGGTCTCCTCAACTTTGCCCAGACAGAACCACTTCTTTCTACAATCTCCCATTTATCTTCTCAGCTAGTCATGGTGTTCACAAAAGCAAAGGCTACACCTTACTTCTCTTTGTTGTGCTTGTGCCTCAACATCCCAACACCAAATACACAGTTGTTACAGTATTAATATTAAATAATAACAACAGTCAAAATTTGAGCTAGACTCTAAGTACTTTAATTTTCACAACTCTTTTTATTTTTATTTTTATTTTATTTTATTTTATTTTTTTTGAGACAGAGCCTCAAGCTGTCCCCCTGGGTAGAGTGCCGTGGCATTACAGCCCACAGCTCACAGCAACCTCCAACTCCTGGGCTCAAGCGAGTCTCCTGCCTCCGCCTCCCAAGTAGCTGGGACCACAGGCGCCCGCCACAACGCCCGGCTATTTTTTGGTTGCAGCCATACATTGTTGTTTGGCGGGTCCGGGCTGGGGATCCGAACCCGCCACCTTAGGTGTACGTGGCTGGCGCCTTAGCTGGTTGAGCTATAGGAGCCGAGCCTTTTTTTTTTTATTTTTTGAGACAGAGCCTCAAGCTATCCCCCTGGGTAGAGTGCCATGGCATCACACTCACAGCAACCTCTAACTCCTGGGCTCAAGCGAGTCTCCTGCCTCAGCCTCCCAAGTAGCTGGGACCACAGGCGCCCGCCACAACGCCTGGCCATTTTTTGGTTGCAGCCATCATTGTTGTTTGGCGGGCCCAGGCTGGGGATTCGAACCCGCCACCTTAGGTGTATGTGGCTGGCGCCTTAGCCGCTTGAGCCACAGGCGCCTAGCCCACAACTCTTTTTAAAAAAGATATTGTTATTATCCCACTTTGAAGATAAGATGATGAAGTCTAGAGAAATAAAATAACTTAAAGGTCACAGAGCCAATGAGTGTGCTTCAAAACATGTACAAAAATCTTACAGGCATACTAGAATGAAATATACAAGATCAGACAATTAGGTTTGTGAACTCATCCTAGAAAAAGTACTACATTGCCTCATTGCTGAATATCACTATTGTTGGTCAACTTTGTTGGCCATCTGGTGACCATAGTAACATTCAGCAATAAGGTATATATAGCACTTTTTCTAAGATGAGTTTGCAATCTTAACTTTCTGCCATCATGAGATAATATTTTTACAAAGTAATTATGTTACTAACACTATGCCAGGTATTCTGGGGTAGGAGATAAGTAATGTGGTAAAATAAAAAACATGAAATATTTCTGGAGATAAAATAATGAAATAAATCATTCTTATATATGACACCAATATAAAAATATTGTTATTAACGAGTATATCTAAAGTGACTGAAAAGTCCACATTTAACATGGTGTTTACTAACAAAGGACATAGTTTTTAGTAGAAAAAGATAATTTAGTGCAGTAGCTCTCAGTATAATCCATGAATCCCTGGGTCCTGATACACTTGGAGAAAATCCATAAAATCAAAACTATTTCCATAATATTGATAAATACTAACGTATTTATCCTTTCACTGTATTGATAATTGCACTACTGGTATAAAAGCAACAGTGAGTAAATCTCCAGATATCTTAGCTAAATTAAAGTAGTGGCAACAAGCATCACTTATTTGTAGTCATCTACTTGTCACTGTCATGCATTTACATTAAAAAACAGGCTGGCTTGGTGGCTCATGCCTGTAATCCTAGCACTCTGGGAGGCCAAGGTGAGTGTATTGCTTGAGCTCAGGAGTTTGAGACCAGCCTAAACAAGATCTGTCTCTACTAAAAATAAAATACTAGCTGGATGGGTGGCAAGTGCCTGTATTCCCAAATACTCTGGAAACTGAGGAAGAGGATCACTTGAGCCCAGGAGTTTGAGGTTGTTGTGAGCTATGATACCATAGCACTCTAGCCAGGGGCAACAGAGAATCTGTATTAAAAAAAAAAAAAGTAGGAAAAACCCAGTTTCACTTAAAAATAAATATTACTGCTTTATCAAGGATATTAAGTTTATTAAATTTCAACCACTGAGCAACAGCATTTTCTTTTTTTTTTTTTGAGACAGAGCCTCAAGCTGTCACCCTGGGTAGAGTGTGGTGGCATCACAGCTCACAGCAACCTCTATCTCTTGGGCTCAAGTGATTCCCCTACCTCCGCCTCCCAAATAACTGAGATTATAGGCACCTGCCACAACATATTTTTTTTTTTTGGCTGCAGCCATCATTGTTGTTTGGCGGCCCTGGGCTGTCGAACCCACCAGCTCAGGTGTTACGTGACTGGTGCCTTAGCCACTTGAGCCACAAGCGCCCAGCCAAGTGACAGCATTTTCAATAGTCCATGATAAAAACAAAAGCACCCATGAAGCATTTCCCAAGTTATCTCAAGGAAAAACATGTGAGTTGTGAACTGAACTAGCTGCTTCTCCTGTGGAACATGATTTTTACTTAGATGAGCTAGTCTTTTTTTTTTTCCTTTTTTTTTGTACCCTGCACCATTTTTGCTTGATCAAACCACTAGCAAACTATGTCTATTCAGACTCAGGTATCTGACACTCATTTTCTTTCCTTTTTTTTGAGACAGAGCCTCAAGCTGTCACCCTGGGTAGAATATGGTGGCATCACAGTTCACAGCAACCTCTAACTCCTGGGCTCAAGTGATTCTCCTGCCTCCGCCCCCCAAGTAGCTGGGACTACAGGTGCCGGCCATAATGCCTGGCTATTTTTTGGTTGCAGCCATCATTGTTTGGCGGGCCCAGCCAGCTCAGGTGTATGTAGCTGGCGCCTTAGCCACTCG